GGGGCAGCTTCAGGGTGCAGCTCTTTCTGCCTGGTGTGCTCATGTCAAATCCAGTTAACTGTTTGGAGGACCCGCTCCGAGCCAGGTCCACGCCTGCCTGACCTTGCGGTAATCCCAGCAGTGCCGCCAAGGAGCTGTCACTTTCCCATTTTTGTCACTGGGGAGGCTGAGGCCCCGGGAGAACTTGCCAGAACTTGTCAGACATGGACGCATCAGCGCTAGAAGTGAACTGGCCTCTAAGCCTCGGGTGTGGAGGAAGCCGCTGTCCCTCCTGGGGCTCCCCAGACTGCTCTTCATCAGTTCTCAGTGCTGATTTCCACACTGATTTTGGTGCATTTCTGAACAGGGGTTCTTTTAAAGGAGGTGGCCTTACTTAATTTTTCCTTTATTTTTAAAACCGTAAATGACTATCTTGTCTTTGCTCAGCGCTTTACCCCCACATGTATATGTAAGACTGTGTAGGCATGCATTTCTTATTCTTCTTTCTCCCCGAGTGTTTGGGGTGGTTCTGTCTTGTATTGGGTTCCCAGGGCTGTGGTATTGAAGTGCCGCCCACTGGGCAGCTCAGTGAGGCCACCAGTCTGATATCAGGGTGTTGGCAGAGCTGTGTTCTCTCTGAAGATGCTGGGAAGGATTCCTTGCATCTTCCAGTTTCCGGTGGCCCCAGGCATTTCTTGGCTTGTGGCAGCATAACTCTGATCTCTGCCTCCTTCACATAGTCACCTTCCCTCTATATCTGTCTGTCCCTGTGTCCTCATGTGGCATTCTCTGCCTGTGTATGTCTGTCTGACCTTCCATCTCGTAACAATGTCATCAGATTGGGGTCACCACCCCCCACCAAATGGCCTCATCTTAACTGCAAAGACCCTACTTGCAAATAAGGTCATGTTTACAAGTACCAGGATTAGGACTTCAGCATATGTTTTGGGGGACACAGTTCAACCCAAGCATTTCCAGGGAAGCAGCTGTTGAAATGAAGAGACAGGTTCAAAGGACTGACCCTTAAGGACGTGTCCGTTCACTGACTCACAACGAGGAGTCATTATTGGTCTCTCATGTGCCAGTGGGCTGGAGATAATAGGGTTGGCAAATGGACTGTGACCTTTTCTGCAAATTCTCACTCTTAAATCTGGAGGCAGTGGGATGAGGAGGAAACAGTGACTAAGAGAGTCCCCACCCTCACGCATTTATGGAAGGAATGTACACAGAACTAAAATGCGAGATCAGAAGTTCCCGGTGTCAACAGAGATGGCAAGGGAGGTGAGTGTAGCTCAGTGGTAAAGCGCGTGCTTAGCATGCAAGAGGTCCTGAGTTCAATCCCCAGTACCTCCTCTAAAAATAAAGAAAGTAAATAAACCTAATTATCTCCTTCCCCAAATAAAGTAAATAAATAAATCAAAATTCAGAACAACGATGGCAGGAGAGGTCTGGGGAGGGCTCCGAGGAGGTGGTGAGAATGGCTTCCTGGGGGAGGTGGCGAGAATGGCTTCCTGGGGGAGGTGGCCTTTGAACTGTGCTGTGCGCAGATGAACAGCAGTGGAGAAAGGTGTTGGGTCAGGGAACAGTGTGGACGCAGGTTCACGAGGGCGAGGGCTGCCTGTGAGCACCAGACAGCAGCGGGGGCTGCGTTCAGCCAAAGCAAGGGGTGCGTGAAAGGAAGGGGTGGCCCGGCAGCTTAGAGAGGTCAGCAGAAGCCAGGAAGTAAGTAATTCAGAAATGCTCATCACAACAAGAGAGGAACCCAGAGGCTCTGGTGAGCACTTGTTAAACAAAAGATGCCGTCTGCTGAATACTCTGTGTAGTTGCTGCTCGGCTGTATTTAGAAACTGTTAGAGCATCTCTTGACCTGGTGCTGCTGTGTACATTCCTTCTGTGTGTTAGTTTTATTTTAGGTAAGCACTCGTGGCGGGAGTCAGTGAAACTGAAGAGAAGTTGGACATTCCCCTTGGCTCCAGTGGTCCCTGTGGTAGGTCTGGCCTGAGATGTTTGCCTCGGTGACCGCTTGTGCACGTGGTGAGTAGAGGCAGCAGGGGACCGGGAGGAACCCTTCCCTTCTCAGAGGCTCCATTTCCTGCTCAGTAAACTGAGGATGAGAATATTTGCTCCACCTGCCTTGCTGGGTTTGGGATCATACCCCTGGGAGCATTTTGTGACTATTTAGCGACTAAAGCACAGTGCTAGTGTAAGGACTACTTCTGTTATTTTGTTACTGCTCTTACTTCTGCGTCGTCTCCGGGTGGGAGTCAGTGACTGGTGTGAGGTCGCCCAGTAAGACTTGTGTTTGAATTGTGCAGCTCCGGTGGTCGTGGTGTGGACATTGCTTGGTTGAGGGAGGTGATTCTCACCCAAATCCTGTGTCTGCAGTTGGACTCTAGGGGGCAGAGTATGAGCAGGAGTTTTCAGGGATGCGGGGCTGTGCAGGCTGAAGTCAGATACAGGCAGACCTCAGAGATGCTGTAGATTCAGGTCCAGACCACTGTAGCAAAGCAAATGTCACAATAAAGCAAATCACATGAAAATTTTGGTTTCCCAGTGCATGTAAAAGTTATCTTCACACTATATGTGCAATAGCAGCTTGTCTAGAAAAAATGTACGTGCCTTAATTTAAAAACACTATGGCTAAAAAATGGTAACTGAGCCTTCAGTGAGTCATAGTAGTCACATCAGAGATCCCTGATCACAGATCCCCACAAGAAGTGTGTAATATTGAAAAAGTTTGAAATGTTATGAGAATAACCAAAATGTTATGTGGAGACACAAAGTGAGCAAATGCTGTTGGAAAAATGGCACCGACAGACTTGCTTGATGCAGGGTTGCTCCAAACCTTCAATTTGTAAAGAATACAGTATCCGCAGATGGCAATAAAGTAAGGTGGGCTGGTGGCGGAAAATACACGCCCCTCAGCAGGCGGCCCCGTCTCCACGTCCTGTGCCCTTTCCACCCTGTTAGTTGCCCCACATGTGATGCCATAACAATTCCATGGGGGAGGTGCCTCCTTTCATAAAAGGCCCACGAGGCTCGTCAGGTCCCCCGGCTTTCAAGGCTGGTTTTTCATGGAACCCCATTTTCACATGAAGGTGTACACAGGAGCGTAACAAAGGCACCCTTCTGCGGTCGGAGCTGGGATGAGCCTGGAATCCTGGGCTGCTTGAGTCGTTTGAAAACCAGACTTCAAAGGAGGAAACAGGTCCTGAGAGGTCTGGTAACTTGCTCAGAGTCACATGGTGGTGGTGACAGGCCTGGGACCACAGTCACTCATTCTTCCTGAACCGAGCATCTGCTGCATGCCAGGCACGGTGCTGCACCCGGGCACAAAGCAGTGACGAGAAAAGCCAGCTCCTGCCCTCGAGCAGGGACAGGATGCTGAGGGGCTGTGTCCCTGATCTGGAGAGTCAGATGGGCTTTATGGAGGAAGTGATGTTCACTTATGCTGGCAGATAAGTGGGAGGTAGCTTAGCCAAGCAGAGAGGAAGGGGGGCGTCCCATAGGCAGAGACGCCCAGCATGTGCCAAGGCCCTGAGGCAGAGGAGGACATGGGCGGAGAAGACCAGTGTGGCAAGAACGGAGCAGGTGAGGGAGAAGGAGGCACAAGATATGCCTGGAAAAGCAGGTGAGGGTCTTCGTGTTTTAAGTACAGTGGGAACCACGTTGGTTATTCACCAGTGGGGTGAAGTGGTCAGAGAAGCACCTAAAGCTCACCCACAGTTAAAGAGAGTGAATTGGAGCAGGGCGGGGGAGGCAGCAGGGAGACGGGCAGCACTTGATGGGATTGGGGTGCTCAGGTTGGGGTGGGTGCTCCCAGCTGCCTCCGGCTCTCACAGCCCCGGTGCCTCTCCTGTGCGACTCCCAGATGCAAGTCACTGTTTATCGCCTTTATCTCACACCTGACCAGGATGCTCAGTCTTGGCCCAGCTGACATTGGGCTGAGTGCTTTGGGGCGGGGGGCTGGCCTCCTGTACATTGGAGGGCGTTGAGAGCATCCCCGGCTCTGCTCACTTGATGGCAGAGGCATCCCCCACACCCCCCCCAAAATGCCAGATGTCCCCTGGGGGTGACCTGCCCTGGCTGAGCACCACCGAGGGGAAGATTGAGTGTGGGGAGGGGACGTCCGCTCGCCTCGTGTCAAGGATTCCTTGGATGAGGGGAAGTCAGTTCTTTGAAGTTTCGTGTCCCTGAAAGGTTGATCTCTTCCAGGATTATGGCAGGAAAAGTGAAATGGGTCACTGACATCGAGAAGTCGGTGCTGATAAATAACTTTGAGAAGAGAGGATGGGTCCAAGTGACAGAAAACGAGGACTGGAATTTTTACTGGTGAGTGTAAAAAAGCAGGGCTTTGTTGTCCGAAGCCCCTTGGTGGGTGTTACTTCTGGTACCAGAGTGCAGGTCTCACCTGTGAAGGTCCCTCCTGTTGCACTGGGTCACCCCCAGGCTCTTTGTGAGCCCTCGGTCAGGACACGTGGTGGAGGGTCCCACGCTCCCGGGTGTCAGCCTGGGGAAGAAGCCCAGGGACGTTTCAGCACAGCTGAGTGTGTTAACACTGTGGGAATTTGGGTGAGAAACGAGCCCGCCCGACCCCCTCCGGTCGGTGGGTTACTCATCCCCGACCCTCTGCAGCTCCTGGGTGCAGAGCATCGCACTGAATCTTTGAGGGGTCAGGGGGACATGGGGAGCACATCATGATCTGCAGGGGCTTCACCCTGTGTATCCCTCCCCTGCCCTGCAAGACTCCGTCTCCCTGTGCTGCCTGAAGAGATGGTGCTCGGTCTCCCTCCAGCACTTGCCTTCTCCCCAGTTTCCTCCCGCAGTCCGCCCAGTGTGGCAGCTGCACCTTTTTCCCTGCTGACCTACCGAGACTGTCTCACTTTTACAGCTTTGTACACGGTGTGCTTTCTGCCCCTGATCAGCCCACCCTTCAGAGACACAGTGCATCTGGGGATTAGATGTCCAGACCCTGGAGCCGGAGCCATACGTGGCTTCAGTCCTGTCTTGTCTCCTCCCCTGCTGTCTGGGTTGCCATTAGCAGAGGACTTGGCGTCTCTTTGTAAACACGGTTGTTTGAGGTTTCAGTGAATCAGTAAGGCACAGACCCTGGGGCGCCTGGCATGTGGTGGGCGTCCCATCAGCCTGTGCGTCACTGTCCTTTGCGCACCAGCGCACCTGCCCTGGAAGCCGCCTCTGCCTCTCGCAGCCTCCCAGGCTGCTTATTCAGATGCCGTGGCAGCAAACACCGGGTGCCACGGTTCGTGGTTTCCCCGCCTGTCCCCTCTCTAGGTGTCAATGTGAACCCCTGGAGAGTGAGGACCTTGCCTGGCTTATCTGAGCCCCTCCAGAGCCTGGCAGGGCCCGGGCTCAGAGTAGGCAGTACCCAGCCCCCAGCTCCAGCAGTGGGTGGAGGGGTGACCCCAGCTTTGCTTTGACAGCGGTCAAGTTACCTGCCCTTTAAACCACAGCCTGATTTTCCTTCAGGAGCACGGAATGCAGGTGGGGAGGGCATTTATGGAGTGGTTAGCATCTGCACGTGGTTTAGTGCCAGGTTTACATTCTTTCTTGTCAAAGGTAAAATGAGGTAATTTATCCAGAGCCCTGATGCAGGCTGAACTTGACTGTCCTGTCCTTGCTCCTATGGTGTCCCGCCGCCCTGTGCCGTGGGCCCGGCAGAACTCAGTGCGTTTTTTGGCTTCTCTGGATAGGTAGTCAAATGCTGGGGGGGAGTTGAGTGTTCCCTTCTTCATGCCGAGAAGCATTTCGGAGCTATTCTTAACCAAAAAAGAGAATGAGAGAGAACAAAGGGCTAAACAGTATGATCACTTCGGCTATCTGATATCTTTTTTTTTTTTCACATTTTTTTCTCTGTGATTTATCATAACATTTTGTGTATATTTCCCTGTGCTATACAGTGTAATCTTGTTTATCTATTCTACAATTTTGAAATCCCAGTCTATCCCTTCCCACCCTCTACCCCCCTGGTAACCACAAGTCTGTATTCTCTGTCCATGAGTCTATTTCTGTCCTGTATTTATGCTTTGTTTTTGTTTGTTTGTTTGTTTTTGTTTTTGTTTTTGTTTTTTAGATTCCATATATGAGCGATCTCATATGGTATTTTTCTTTCTCTTTCTGGCTTACTTCACTTAGAATGACATTCTCCAGGAGCATCCATGTTGCTACAAATGGCGTTATGTTGTCGGTTTTTATGGCTGAGTAATATTCCATTCTATAAATATACCACATCTTCTTTATCCAGTCACCTGTTGATGGACATTTAGGCTGTTTCCATGTTTTGGCTATTGTAAATAGTGCTGCTATGAACATTGGGGTGCAGGTGTCATCCTGAAGTAGATTTCCTTCTGGATACAAGCCCAGGAGTGGGATTCCTGGGTCA